TTTGTTTTGTTTTGTTTACTGGAAATTCTTGATACAGTTTTGTTTTGCTTTTCGGCGGTCATCATCCACCTTGTGATATATTTTTTTTCCTGTCTCTATAAAAAAACACTTTTGAACCAGGAAGGATTTATTTCTTTACCATTTTTCTTCCATTTTTTTTTGCAGTTGTTGATGTTGTCATTGTTGTTGTTCAATAAAACAACAACAACAACAACAACAACAATCAACACACATGAGTATTGAACACATTTTTTCTTTTCTTTCTTAATTCCTTTATATATAATGGACTAAATCGATTTATATTCTCGTGTGTTTGAGTGTTAATGTGTTCAATATTAACAACAACAACAACAACAACAACAACAAGAGGCAGATAAACAAACGATATGAACATGAAATAATTTTTTTATGAATGAATGAATGAATGAGTGGTGCTAAAAACACTGAAAAAAAAATAAATATATCTGCTTTTGATAAAGAAGAAAAATCACCAAATAGTAGAAAAATAAAAAGTCTAAAAAGCAAAACAAATGCTGAATGCAGAATTCAGTCTGGTCTAATTTCCTTCGTTTTTTTTCTCTTTTCTTTCTTACTAACTATGGTGCCTGATGATTTATTTAAATAAATAAATCTGTGTGTATTTTTCCAAGTGTCTGTCTGTCTATGTGTGTGTGTGTGTGTATGTGTGCGTTTGTTGATTTTGACTGTTGTTAGATGCGGCGACGACAACAACAACAACAACAACAGTTTTCTATATTCTGGAATATTTTTTTTTTCTTCTTCATAAAAAGTTTCTGTGTGTTAAAAGCTAACCATGTTGATACACACACACACACACACACACACACACAACACACTGTTTTTTTGTTGTTGTTGTTGAGAACATCCATCTTGACACTTTCATCGTTTTTTTTTGAGATTTTGGATTCGATTCGATTCGTTTTTTTTTTTTTGCTTTTTTTTTTTTGTTTTGTGCCATCTGAAAAAAAACCAATGATGACCAATTTTTTTTTTTGTTTCATATCATAGGACAAAATATAACGGCATGCAAAGTTTTGAAAGTTGAAATATGAATAATGTGGAAATAGAGGACAGGAAAAAAAAATTTTCTTATCACATTTGGCTGTGTGGGTGTGTGTGTGTGTGAAAGCCATTTGCATATTCTCTTTCCAATATAAAAATGAATTGGATTCATTTATAATTTACCAAATTTGCATACACACACACACACACACACACACACTAATACAAACAGGTAAAGCAACAATGAAGATGATCAATAATGGATCATTATGGATAAATGATCCATGATGATAATCTGTAGTAAATTCTACCAAGAAAACCAGAAAACAAAACAAACAAAGCAAAATCAGTTTTTGTAGAAAATCGTATTGTTTATTTTTAGGTGCCAATATATATATATCGAAATACAAAAAAAACACAATGATCAAAAAGCGCTCACACACACAACTTAGAGCCAAACTCGACAGCGCCAAAAACCGTGACATACTCTACGAGGGGTTTACTTCACGACACTCCCCCACCGCTTCCAACAGTACGAGTCCATTTACGGGACGGATGAAATTCTTTTTCTCATCGACTAATTTGATTTTAACGGAGCGTACGATGCCATCGTCGCTTGCGATAGACTCGATATAATTTTCGCCAATGGCCAATCCTTTCGTTTTTGATACTCAGCGGGAAGCAGGACAAAATCCCCAGGTTTGATGTCCGTAGATCTCGGTGGATTACGTTGAGCCAAAGTATTCAAATATTGCTGCTTCCAAAGTCTTTCGAATTTATTCCTAATCGTTGACAAATAGTCCATCCATTTGTTGACGTTCCCAATTTCAACATTGTTCTTGATCAAGGGCTCTTGTTTACGTCCGTAAGCGACTTCAAACGGCGATAGCCATCGCTCGTCATTTTGAATTAATGGACGACCATTGATTGTTGACTTGATTTTCAAAAAGATGCTACGAGCGTCTTCCATTGACTTGAATTCATTATCGAAAGTCTTTAAACACCGTTTTACAACGGCAATTAACCGTTCAGCGGTACCATTGTACCAAGGATTGCAGATGCAATCTGATTATCATTAGAACCAGATTGTTGTTGCTTCTGTTGTTTTTGATATTGTCCACATTGTGATTTATATTTAAGTGCCAGATTTTTCAATTGATGATTCATAGTCTGTAAAGAGGATAGCTCATTTCGAATTGATTCAATTTGTTTTTCTGATTCATCATTGTTGATGTTTTTCGAGAATAACTTTGATTATTTTATTGTTCAATCAATGAGAATGGAAACATGAAAAATACATAAATTAAATCTGGAACATACAAGAAACTCTCTTGTGCTCACATGTACAATTCATATACAACGTACCACGTTGAACATTACTGAAAGGAGAAACATTGATTCATTAACAATCATGTTGTTTGCTAGATTGCAGCGCCTGTTCCGGACTATTAAAAAGCGCCAAAAACCGTGACGTACTCTACGACTGGGTTTACTTCACGACAATAATCAAAATAAATGGACCCTAAAGGCTTCTCTCAGTTTTTTTTTGTTCCACTGTGGATTCATATTCATATTCATATTATAGATGATATGATCAATGTGAGAATGATAACCAAATATTCCACTTGATAGTCACCACATTATTTAAATGGCCATACGACACGAATCTTTCACAATTTGAATCGATACTGATCAATCAATCGATCAATCAATCAGTCAAACAAGAATCGAATGATGATGATTATAATGATTTGAAAAAGAGAGAGAGAGAAAAAAGTTTTTTTTTTTATTTGCAAAAAAAAACGAAACAAAACAACAACAATAATAATTCATTATCCGGAAACAAGAAGCCAAAAAAAAAAAAAAGTTGGCAAGTTATTCAGAATATACACAAAAGGAACGCATAAAAAAAATGAAGGAAGAATTTCCACCACACAATATGTGTAATAATCCAATAATAATAAGCGATGATGATGATAAAAGAATATTCTTATTATTACGTAAGAATAAATGTTGAACAAAATAAAAAAAGTAAAAAATGAATAAATAAAGACAGACATACAGACAGACAATAGAATCAAAAAGAACAAAAGAATCATCATCATCATCATCATAAATTGCTAATTAAATAATCACAAATGAAAACAAAAAAAGGAGAAAAACTGAATTAAATGGCAAGGTTTCCAGAATAAAAAAAAAGATTTTACCACACTTCACTTATGTTGTAGTGGAGTTTTTCTTCCAAGGAAAATTTCTATCTGTGTGTGTAGTTGGTTATATTGTTATTCTGAATGGAAAAAGAGAGAGAGAGAGAGATTATTTGTCCATCATGCATCTCTTATTTTTTCTTCTTCTTCACTTTTTATTAAAACATAATCAAACGATCAAGTAGCAAGAATCTTTAGTTGCTGAAAAAAAGCTCATCTTTTGATTTATATATGTTTCATTTAATTTCTGTATGATGGTGAACATTTTCTGTTGGAATAAAAAACAAGAATCAAAATCAAACTAAAAACGCGGACAAAACATTTTTTTTCCAGGTTTCGGTTATTGTGTAGCTCTGTTGAAGTCGTCGTCGTCGTCGTCGTCGTTATTGTTAACAAGAAAAAATAAAAATCGAAATCCAAAAAAAAAAAATAATATATACCCGCCTTTATGTGCGTGTGTGTTTCAATATCCACACTCCATTCCAGGTTCCAAGTTTTCAAGTGAAAAAAAAAATAAAGCAACCGGCCATGTTGTTTGCTGTTAACGTAGTCGTCGTCGTCGTCGTCATAGTAGAATAGAAGCAGCAGCAGCAGCAGCAATGTGATTCTTGTACCATCAAATGCGCAGTTTCTTTTTTTTTTTTTTTTGCATTCCATACCAAAATTCGAATATATATTGGTATTCCATATTCGATCTAGTTTGTTTGTGTTTCATTTCATTTAGTCACATTTCATTTTTGGTGAATGATTCAAACACACACACACACACACACACACAAAACACACGACATATATACATAAAACACGTAGAATCACCCCCAAAAACCAGACAACAACAACAACAACAAAAAACAACCGACCAATTCAACAATATATTGAATATAGTGTGACTTGAAATTCAATTTTTCTTCTTCTTTTTTTTCTTTCTTCAATTTCCGATTCAACTACATCGACGATCATCACCATCATCATCATCATCATAAGTTTGGCTGGACTTTATTCTTGTTCATTGTTGTTGTTGTTGCTTGTTTTCTTTCTCTTGTTTAAACCATCCATAAACTATATCGATATCCGATAAAGTTTCATTTCTATATTAATTTTTTGGATTCATAATCATCATCATCATCATCATCATCATATATCACGCACACCATACACACACACACACACACACGTTGTTCCATGAACGGAAAGAATAACAATCGACCCGCCAACCAATCGACCGACTGAATGACCGACCAACTGACTGACCATGACTATAACTGTGGGGAAAAAAATGGACAACAAAATTTTTGTTACTTTTTTTTTTTTTTGTTGTTGTTGTCCATAAAAATCATTCAATTATTCGTTGGGCGTATATGTGAAACAAAACAAAAAAATCATTCATCAAATCAAAAATTTTTTTTTTTGTTCATCTTTATGTCATGTCAACAACAACAATTATTGATTGATTGATTTATTTATAATCGAATTTGATTTTTGTAATAGTCATCGGCCAGTGGCGACACCATCGGCGAGTAAACGAGTTGTGTATTGTTCGTTTCTATTATTATTAATTGTTTAATTGATTTTTGGACATCGAAAAACATTTACAATTTAAAATTTTTTCTGCAAATTTTTTCTGTGTGTGTGTGTGTAAATTGTTTTCAGTGCAAGTGAGTGGATGTTTTGGTGTGTGTGTGTGTGTGATAATTATAAATGCCACGATGTATATGATGATGATTTGATTTATTTTTTTACGGCCATCTCATTATTATTATCGTTCATAAAATGGCTCATAATCAACAAAAACAACATAACGACGATCATCGATTTATTGATAAATTGATTCGTCCATCACCACTATCGTCATTGTCATTATTTTCATTATCATCACAATTATTTAGGATAATATTATTAAAATTTTGTCATAAAATTTCATCATCATCATCATCATCATCATCATCACCATCACCATCATCATTATCATTATTATCATCCAATTCTATTACCATTGTTAGCATTAATTCTGAATCAACAACATCAACAACAATCATCATCATCATTATCATCGATTATATTGTCATCATCAACATCGATTGTATCGGCAGCTATTACAACCAACAAGGATCGTCCTTATAGTAAGTGATGATGATGATTTTTAAATTCAAATTATGTGATGAAAATGGCCAAAAAAAATCAGTAAAATAATCCAAAGATTTGTGTGTGTGTGCCAGTGCGGAGTTCTGAGATTCAGCAATTCAAATTATCGATCGCTTAGTTTAATATATTAGTTTAGTGTTTCGTCTGTACGAAAAAAAAATGTCTTTTCAATCATTTCTATTAAAAAACGATTCGTTCACAGCTAAAAATAACTCGTTCGTTCGTTCGTTCGTTCGTTTTCTTTGACAAATTTACTTGATCAAATAATGAAAAAATGAGAGCGAAAAAAAACGAACCAAAATTGACAACAGCGATATATTCTCTCTAGCTGTTATAGGTAGTTTTTTTTTACCAATCTATTGATCTAGTCAAGCTAAATAAATGACGAACAACAACAACAAGCAAGCTGTTGTCCGATAACTAGATCATTTTATTTAGTAACAGCAGCAGCAGCAGCAGTAGTGTGATCCAAATGACGACGAAAGAGTTCATTGGAAAAAGATTTTTTTCGATTTTTTTGTTTTTGATTATTTTTGTTTCTTGCTGCTGTTTTTTTGAAACATTTGAAGAATTGCAACAGAATTTGTTTTTTTTTCAGCACAAAGATTGTGTTCATGTGCGTGGGTGTATGTGTGTGCATAGGTGGTGGTAGTATTATGTATTTTAATTTCAAATGTACTTGAATAGATTCATGGTTTGAATTTGATTTTTTTTTTTTTTTACTTCTAAACATTCATTTGTTCATTGATCGAACTGAATTTTTGTTGAGAGATGGATGAAATGTAAAGGAAAACAAAACAAAACAAATGATCCAATTAGAATGATGATGATGATGATTACAATTACACAATAAATATGAATTTGATTTCATTTTCATTGTTTCATCAACCGTAACAATTTGCTCGTTTGCAAAAAAAAAAAAAAATCGAAATCGACATTTAGCTATTTAATGTTGTTGTTGTTGTTGTTGTTGTCGTCGTCGTTGTTGTTGTTGTTGTTGTTTATCCATAATTTTTTTTCTCTCTCTCTCTCTCCTTGTAACTGGATAATATAGCCATATCCGATGTCTTTTTGTTGTTGTTGTTGTTGTTGTTGATGGTTGTATTTATAACACAATCATCATCATCATCATTTGTATCTAGTTAAATGTATAAATAAAAGACGAACAAAACGAAACAAGAAAAAAAAACATTTATATTAATTAGGATGGACAACACTAAAAAGTCCAAAAAAAAAAAAAATTGGTGTGAATGAGTGTGTGTGTGTGTGTGGAAAAAATTCTGAAGAATCCAATACTCGTTGGTTGTTCACTATTTTTTTTTCTTTTCAGTTCCATTTGGATTTTGTATTTTGTTCTGTTTTTTTTTCTCATACAGTCAGAACATGAGAGAAAAAAAAATTACAGGAAACCTGTACCACCATCATCATCATCATCACCAACCAACCAAACATACATTATTATCATCTTAATGTTGTTGTTGTTGTTTTTCCACTGTTTTTTTCATGGGTTTTAAATCAAAAAATAATGAGCTTCATGATCATCATGATCATCATCATGGTGCACCATAGCAGAGAGAGAGAGAGAGAGAGAGAGAGAGATCAGAAACATAAATAGTACCGTGGGTGGGTGTGTGATGTATCGAAACAACAACAACAACATTCGATTGGTTTTGATTTTCGGTTTTCATCATCATCATCATCACTTCATTTATGAATTGACCAAAATTTAATCAATAAACAAAAAAAAATTGATGAAATTATTTGAAACAATTGAATAATAAATATCAAGTACACGACATGATAGCAACGGAAATGATAATAGATCCAAAGACCAGGGAGTACATATTCTATACATTAGATTTGGAATGCAAGAATACTTCCGGTCAAGTTTTTTTTCTTTTTGCTCTGTGTGTTTCATAAAAAAAATTGACCGCCGAAAAAAAACCATCAAAAAACATTTGTGAATAAAATGAAGAATAAAAATGGTATATGAACAGAAACCACAAGCATGTAATTGATATTGGTTCAAGTTTTTTTTTTCTTCTTTTCTTCTTCTTGGAATTCATTCATTCATTCATTCATTCATTTTACCGCCTTTGATCATCATCATAAGCATCATGAATCTTGCAATAAAGATGTTTCAACATTATTATTAATAACGATATATTGCATAATTTATTGTTTCTCATTTTTCTTCCGTTTGTTTGCGTTTTGTTTTTGTTTTGTTTATTTCATTTATGATTTCACTACATTCACTGAAAAAAAATCATTGAAAGTCAAAATCAATCTTATGATGATGATGATGATTATGGTGATGAAAAATAGTTTTTTTCTTTCTTCATTCATTCATTCATTCGTTGTTGGTTTGTTTTTCTTTTTATGTATCCAAATGTGTGTGTGTGTGTGTGTGCTTATCCTTGAATCTTTTTTTTTTTTTGTTTGTTTGTTTTCAGCTTGATGATGGCAAAATTGGGTAAACCAGAAGAAAAAAAAAGTTGATCATTTTTTTCTGTTGACTTTTTTTATATATTCCAATTTAAACTGTATATAAAAATGGTCATTTTTTGTGTGTGTTTAGATTGATTGCAACAACAACAACGACAGAATTGCTGCACATGTAGAAGCTCATTAAACGAGCAAAAAAAAATTCAATGTTTCTTTTGAAAAGAAGAAAAACCAAAAAGAATATTCGTCGTGTCGTGTCGTCTTTTTTTTTCTCTCTCTCTCTCTCTCTCTCTTCGAACCAGAATATTCCAATAGAATCAATTTCTTGTTGTTGTTGTTGTTGTTTACAAAAAACAAAAAAAAAAAACAAACAAATAGTTTGTGTGTTTGAGACAATTTTGTTTTCACTTTTGTTTTCTTTGGACATATGGATTTTATTTCATTCCATTTTTTTGTGGCTACTTCTTGACAACAACAACAACAACAACAACCCACCGAGAGAAAACAACAGGATTTTTTTTTCATTTTTGAAACTTTCAAGAATCTCTCTCTCTCTCTCTCTCCCGCTCTCTCTTGTCAACCACAAATTGTATACATTTAGAGACAGACAGACAGACAGACGAACATGGATTTAAATTTTGCTTTTTTGTTTTATTCATTCATTCATTACTATTCATCATATGAATATATTACAATCATAAATAACAAAAAAAAAAAAAAAAACAGAAACAAGAAACAATTTTGTTTCACATTTCACAATTGGCCCATTGGAATCGTGATGTTTTTTTTCCTGTTTTTGGGTTTTTTTTTTGTTTTATCCCCCCCATTATTATACAAATGATGATGGTCATCATAATTTGTATGTTTTTTTTGGGGAGGGGGTGTAAAATGAATTTCAAGTCGTTTTTTTTGTTGTAAATCATAAACTCTTCTTGACATCATCCCAGGTAGGTATATGCCATATGAACAACAAAAAAATTTTGGATTTTGGATCAAGAAGACCAGAGAGAGAGAGAGAGAGAGAGAGAGAGAGAGAGAGAGAGAGAGAGAGAGAGAGAGAAAATTCAGTTTTTTTTCCCATTTTCATTCAACTTTTATTCATTATTTTTGGATCATGTGATTTTTGCTAGTTGGTCACGTTTATATCTGATGGGTTTCGTTTTTTTATTCACTAAATTTCGCCCGAAAACAAAAAAAAACACAAAATGATTGTAAAGTTAAGTTGTTGCCAATGGGTAGGGGTGGTAGAATCGAAAAAAAAATTTTTTTCCCATCCACCACAAATTGATTGTTTTGCACGAGTGAAACAGTATGGCTATGAAGAGAGATGGAGATAATAATAAAAACGAAAAGAAAAGAAAACACATGATGTGTAATGATAAGAAATGGGTGAAAAAAAAATGAAAGTAAAATCCAAAATATGAATATTATTCACAAATGTGGATTGAAACCAAAAAAAAAGAAAATCATTGCTAGAATATGGCCAGATGTGTGTGTGTGTGTGTGTGTGTCTGCAGTATCATCATCGTCGGAGATAAAATAATTTAATTTAAAGAAAGAAAAAAAACCACCACCACACATCACCACCACCAAGAATAACATGTATGCAAAGCTTTTAAAAAAAATTTTTTTCTCGTAAAAAACTTTTTTTTTTTTTTGGATTCTTCCATTGAGAAAGTTTTTTTTTCTGTTGTTGTTGTTGTTGCTTCTCTGATAGTTCGCTGGTTCGTTCGTTCGCTAGATCGAAAATCATTGAATGGAAACTAAAAAAAAAAAAAAAAAAATCACCCCAGGAGTATACAGTGTGTGTGTGTGTGTGTGTGTGTGAGGAACATTTGAATTTTTCAAATATACACGGCCATTTTGATGTGGATAGATTAAAACCGTATAGATATCACATTCAAATCTAACAACAACAACAACAACAACAACAACAAAAAAAACATTGAATTCAGCAGTGTGGATGAATGAGAAAAAAAAATGTAAAGTTTAATTCAACCATAAATTCAATCATCATCATCATGTTTCGGTTTTCGTTTTTTGGTTTTTTGGTTTTCGGTTTTCATGTGGTGGTTTTTTATGAGATGAAAAAAAAAAATTGAATTTCAAGTTTCAAATTTTCAAGTTTATATGGTGGACACACACACACACACACACACAAGCATAAATATTACATATGAAGAATGATTCAAAAATGTCAACGGCATTTATCATTGGTTAGTTTTGTTATTTGAAATACCACATAACGCTACATGATGTCCATCACATCTCCCACATCACCCACTAACCGTCACCACCACCAGCCGACCAACCACTAATCGAATAAGCCATGTAAATATACCTCTATAGATGAACAACACAACCGCATGGATCCAATTTCAACTTTATGTTGATTATTATTAATATTATACTACGTGAGGAATATGGTCGAAAATATCATTTACATTTTTTTTTCACCACCAACAACAACAACAACAACAACAACAAAACATTATGTCAAATGTCAACAGTGTGTGTGTGTGTGTGTGCATTA